AGGGGCCTCAGAGAGGTGATGCGCCCAAAGAAAAGGGGCTCGGGGCGGTGTCGGTGTCAGAAGTTCAGGGCTCAGGGAGAGATGGGGGTTGGGGGTGTGTGTGTGTCACAGAGGGGCATGGTCTTGGAATTCAGCTCTGCAGACTGATGGAGAATGGCGCTCTCCCGGGTCCCTGGAAGCTGCTTCCGCCCTGCCTCCTGCAGGACGCAGAACCCAGGCTCTGCGGAATGACCAGAGGCACCTGGCCAGGCAGCATCTGTGTCTCTTTAATCTCCTCCAGGCAGGTCCGCCCCACCCGACCCTCCCTCCTTCTCCCGCACTGTCGGGGTGGAGGCCCAGGACCCCTTCCCCGGGTCCAAGGACTAAGGCACCAGGTGGCTTGAAGCAGGCCGGCGGACCGGAGCCTCAGAGGGGTCGCTGAGGACGGACTCAGACAAGCGTGGTGGGTACTGGGCATGGGCGAGGCTCCCACGGGCTCTGGGTGCATCGCGGGCGCGGGAAGCCCCGGCCGCCCGCGAAGGGCTGTGGCGTGAGGACGGGCGGAGCGGCGGGCACACGGCGCTCACTTGCCGCCCTTGCGCGACAGGCACCGCGGGAGGCAGGAGAAAGTCTGCTTGACCCGCGCCAGCAGCGGCAGCGGCCGGTGGGCGTCCCGCGGCGATCGCGGTACCAGGCGCTGCAGGGGCCCCTCGGAAGCCGCCGAGGACGCTGTGGACGACGCGCCGGAGGTCGCCGAACCCTGGCGACAGCGCCTGCAGAGAGGCAGCAGCGTGCGCAATTCCTCCTCGTCGTGGAACGGGCTCTCCCCGAAGCGCTCCTCCAGCTGCCGGCGAAGCTGGGGCGGGGAGGGGGAGCGGAGCGCAGGTCTAGCGGCCACCGGTTTGCCACCTTCACACCCTCCCCACACCTGACTCTTCTAAGTCTCCTCTGTCTTCATTCTAAGACTTTCCAACACTCACGGCGGGGGTGGGGTGGGGTGGGGCTACCTAAAACCCACTTACCCTCGACACTCCATCTTTCAGACTTGGCCGCTGCAAACCGCCTTAAACCACCTTCCTTGAGCCTCTGTCCCCTTTTGTGAACTCAAAGACACCACACCCCCGGGGTTTCTTCCTTGTCTGCTCCTGGCCTGGGGCAGTCCTGGCGTCCCTTATGCCACCTTCTGAGAACCTTCCAGCTACTCCGTTCCTTTCTCTCTCTCCCACTCCTAGTTGGCTGTGTGGCCTCAAGCTGATATTCCCCCCAGAAGTGCTAAGGGAAGGACTCCTTTGGCCTCAGAAAGACCCTGGGTGGAATAGGACACAGACCCCAAGTGGACGAACTCTGGACTACCTTGTATTGGGGACACCTGTGTTGGCCACAGTCTGGTCTATAAACATCTGAAGTCTCAGTTAAAAAGACAAACAAAACAAAACCTGAAAACCCAGGCCAGGTGTGGTGACCTGTGGTGCAACCCCAGTGTTTGGGAGTCTGAGGCAGGAGGATTGTGAGTTTGAGAGTGAAAGGGGTGGGGGGAGGCATAGGGTGGATCCCCTCCAATGGGTGCTAAGATCAAGGATGCTTCCCAGCCCTGCACAGCCCCAGCCCTGCACAGGCCCAGCCCTTCATAGCTCCAGCCCTTCACGGCCCCAGCCCTGCACGGCCCCAGCCCTGCATGGCCCTGCACGGCCCCAGCCCTGCACAGCCCCAGCCCTGCACGGCCCCAGCCCTGCACGGCCCCAGCCCTGCACGGCCCCTACCTTCTGGGAGTTTCCCCAGCCAAACTCTTCCAGCTGCTGCCTAAAGCCCGGGTTTGGGTTGGCGATGGGCCTGGTGGCCTTGATGGCTTCGAGTACTTCCCGCCAGCCTAGTCCAGTCACCGTCATCACATAGGCAATCACAATGGTGGTACTTCGAGATATACCTGCAAAGCTGGATCCCGGACAACCCCAGGCTGCAGGAAAGTCTCTCTTCCTTCCGTATGCCCTCCCTGCCAGGTCCCTTGCCTTACCGGGGCCTCCCCATGCTTGCCCCCTGAGTCTGCCTGGAATTGCCTACCTAGCTCTAAGACTTGGCTTGTGACATTTCCCTTCCCTCCCCTCAGACCAGTACTCTGTCCCCTACTCCAAGGGATTTGCTGAAACATCATTCATTCATTCACACACACACACACCCATCATGTTTTTGTTCAGGCACTGGGGTATGGTAAGGAATAAAACTCATGGTCTCTGCTGCCCTGGAGCTTACACTATAGTTTGGAGAAACAGCCACTAACCAAAGCAGCAATTTCAGATACTGAGGCAATTTCAGATACTTGAAGACTGGATGAGCCTGGGGCTTGAAGAGCCACACAAATAGAGGTTTCCTTAGTGGGGGTAGGAGAGGTGTAGGGAGGAGGCTCCCTAGGAAGTGACCTCAAGCCGAGTCTTGAAAGATAGGGCTAGACAAGAATGCTGTGGGCTAGGACAATGGGTGAATTGTGGGGTGCTTGTGCAGTGCGTATGAGGCTGAGTTCAACTGCCCACGAGATAAAACAAAACAAAGTATTCTAAGTAGTGTATGCAACAATCGCGAGGTAGAAGGTGGGCTGTGGATTTGAAGATGGAGAGGTTAGAGTTAGCTGAATATGGGGAGAGCTAGGTCCTTTTTTCTTTTCTTTTTTTCCCCTTTCTCTCTTTTCTTTTTTCATTTTTCCTGAGACAGGGTTTCTTTGTGTAGTCCTGGATGTCCTGGAACTCACTCTGTAGACCAGGCTGGTCTCAAACTCACAGAGATCCACCTGTCTCTGCCTTCCAGGTGCTGGGATTAAAGGCGTGCGCCACCATCATCAGCTGGAGAGCTAGGTCTTAAGAGAGCCCCAGCCAGAACCCTTGGTGAGATGCCATGGGATGAACGGCACCCTTTGGGTCAGGGACACTGGAGAAGATTCCTAGCCATGCACTCCTGCCTCAAAGGGAAGAGAGGCGAGGGGCTAGAATGCATGGATTACCTATGTGACCCCACCCAGCTCCCTCAAGAGCCCTGTCAGCACGGCATCCATCCCTCCACTTTACAGATAAAGAAACTGAGTCTCAGAAAAACACAGTTGCCGGGCTACAGCCCAGGAGTGCTGAACCTCTGAGGGGTCTGTCCCCATGAGTGATGGACTGTCAGTACGGTGACAGTCTAGAGGGAGCTTGCCCCACAGGATAGGCATGCATGTGGGGAGGAAGCCCTTCAGAACTCACCAGTGTACAAGGCAGTTACCCCCGTTGAGGCGGCAACCGTGGATAAAGTTGACACACTCTTTGAAGTGCTTTTTGCTAGAGAAGAAAGCAACAGGAAAGGGAATGCTGGGGTGGGGGGGCAGGCCTCTCAGGAGCTTCCTCCTCTTCCTCCTCACGTACAGACACCAAGGGACAGAGAACCCCAGGTTTTCAGCGCAGTCCGCGTGTGCAGTGAATCGGGATGCTGCTCAGGAAGGAGGCAGCAGAGCAGGCGGGAAGAGAGGCTGGCCCCACCAGCTGACCAAGTATGAGGAACAAGCTTCCACTACGGCTGTATTCTGGCCTTTCAAGGACAGAGCTGTGGGGAGCGCTAGGTGCCATTTCTCTAGGGTCTGCAGCTGGAGGAGGATTTGGAACAATGGTCAGCAGTGGACTGGAAGAAGAGCCCCAAAGGGACAGGCTTCAGCCTGAGTCCATCCCAAGCTTGAGATACCGGTGCTAGTAAACCAAATACAACCCTCGTTTTTCCAGAGTCCTTGCAATTACCAGGTCCAGTTCCACATCCTCAACTCAGGTCGCCTCATCTTTGCAAACATCGACTCATCTGAAGCTCAGAGAGGACAAGTGATTTTGCCAAGGTCACACAGCAGTAAATGGAAAAAGCTGGCTGTGAACCAGGTGTCTTAACTGCAAGCCAGGATGCAGGTCAAGTCTGACCCTCACACCTGCTGTGTACCTTGTCCCAAGAGATAGGATGCTTTCTTCGCATCACAGGGGAGGAGGCTGAGGCCTGGAGAGAGCTTAGTAGGGACCTGCTGCAAGGGCTCTGGGTGCCCTGTGACAGCTTTCTGGCCTGAATACTCTAGGCCCTCACCTCCACCCCAGGGGCAGCTCTCTGTCAGCTCTGGGCCCATCCAGGGGAACTTACATGTGTACCTCAGGAGTATCAGCCACTGAGATTCGAAGGTACGCAATACCCTGCAGGGAAGAAACACATGCCCAGATGGTGAGGCCTTGCCTGCACCTCTCCCCCAGCCTGAGCTGCCAAGGCCAGTGTGACCCTGGCCCTTTCCTGCCCCTCTCTAGGCCACCATTGTTTTCCTGCCCACAAAGAGCAGGTACTATTTGTATGGACCTGCCAGCTCCGTCTATGAAGATGGCGTCCTCACCCACAGGTGACCTGGACATGAGGACTTGGAAGCTGGGAAGGTGTTTCTTCAAGGACAATCCCCCAGGCAGGGATTGCAAAGTTATGCAGTGAAAAGGACAGAGCTCATTTGCCTTGGAGAGTATGAACCATGAAAAGAACAGTCAGGCATAGTGACCACACACTCGTAATCCTGGCACTCAGGAGGCTGAGGCCAGCCTGGGCTGTCTCAGTAAGTCCTGTCTCAAAAGACAAACAAACACCACCACCACCACCACCACCACCACCACCACCACCACCACCACCACCACCACCACCGTACCACCACCACCACCACCAGACAACAACATCAACAACAGCTTCATGAACTGGTCTGCCAGGCTTTGCTTCCTGCCGAAACTCCACACCAGGGTACTAGGGATATTTCTGTCCATGTTCCAAACCCTTCACTGCCGTTTCTCAAAGATTTCCCTCAATCCTTTGTTACTTCGCCCAGCCCTTTTCAGGTGCCCGGTCTGCTGCTGACTGTGACTCTTCAAGGACACAGGACCTGTCCTCTTGTGTCCATGGAAATGTGTCCCATCTCTTTCTAATGCTTCCAAGGTCATGGAATCCCACGGTGTTTGCAAGATCTGCAGTTTCCCTTTGCAGTGTGTTTGGCTGTGGGTTTGCCTGGGAGCATCCAAGCCTGCCTGCTGAATCCCCTGCTGGGAGGGACCGCTGCTGGGGAGGTGTCAGGGCAGGGCTCTTTCCCTCAGCACTTATTTCTTTAATAAACACATTAATAACTTGGAAAGCCTGCCCATGCAATCTGTTCAGACTACATACTCCAGTGCTCTAGAACGAGGCTGCCCTAGAATGCAAAATCAGATTGCACTAGCCTGGAAATTGCTTCATAGACAATGAAAGTCACAGATCATCGTCAGCTGCCCTTGGAGACCATTAAATTTGATAGGAGACCAAACAAACAAACAAACAAAAAAACGAGTCCAAGGCCCAGAGAGGGTGAAAGACCCTGCCCAAGGTCATCATAGCAAGTGTGTGGTGGATTCTGTCATTTTTTTTTTAACTTAAAAGTTTTATTTATGTGTACAAGTGTTCTGCTTGCATGTATGTATGTGTGTCATTTATGTGCCCAGTGCCCATCATATCTCTCTGGAACTGGAGTTTACAGTATGAACTGCCATGTAGGTGCTGGCAACCAAGCCTGGGTCTTTTACAAGAACAAATGCTTTTAACCACTGAGCCATCTCGCCAGGCCCCTAGAACCTGCTTTTTTTTTTTTTTTTTAAATCTGAGATTTCCAGAGCCTTTTCAATCTACCATTGCTTCTCTGTAATAGTAGACACAGACTCTAGACAAGGGGCTCTTTTGTGTGAGTGTGAGTGTGTGTGTGTGTGCACACGTGCGCATGTGTGCCTATGAATACACGTATGTATGGGGATGACTATACACATTTGTGTGTTTGCATGCCGAGGTCAGGTATTTTGCTCTGTCACCCTCTACCTTATCCTCACGTCCCCATGGAGACAGGTTCTCTCACAGAAGCTGGAGATGTTTTTCAGCTGGGCTGGCAGCCAGCTGGTCCCAGAGATTTCCCTATCTTCACCTCCTCTACTTCCAGTGCCAGAGTTATGGGCACATGTGGGCATGCCTGGCTTTTACGTGGGTGCTGGGAATCTGCAGACTTAGTCACCAAGCCATCTCCCTAGCCTGGGATAAGAGTATTAAAACAGTTATCTTTTTCTCAGTTACACTTTGTTGAGCATCTATATGTGGCTCAAAGAAACCCAGTGAGTAGTACTATTGTAGCATTTCCATTTAATAGACGGTGGCTGGGGCTCAGCTTGTCTTGTGCACAAGGTCACAAAGAGAACAAACGGTCTCCTGATTCCAGCACCACTTGTCTGAGTTTCTTAGCTTCTCCCTTTGGGTCCTAACACCCCTCCTCATCTCTTCCTTAGGATTCCATGAGAGCCAAACTGATCATCCAATGAGACCGTGTCTTACAGCATGCAGGAATGTCTTCCACATCTGGCAGACCCTCTGCACCCTCACAACAGCCCTCTGGGGCAGTCGGGATCAAAGGCCCCAAGGAGCTGACGTCATGGCCCAAGATTGCACAGCAAGACACAGAACCCTGGGATCTTCTGTTTGGAATGATCCAGACACTTGGCAATCGGAAGGATGCCCAGGTAGGTGCAAAAAGGATTAATATGAGGCCTGCATTAAGGTCTTAATATTAAGGATTGATATGAGATCTCTAGGGTCAGATGGCTTATATCCAAATCCTAGTTGGCCAGCTTCTTCACTATATGACCTTACATGAGTTCATTTACCTCTGTGGCCTCAGTCGCCAAACAGGGATGATAGAACAGTCCATTGAGGCTGGATGAGTCAGCTGGGGGCAAGATGGCAGCCCAAGGACTGTGGCTCAAGAACAGAGCATTTGCTTAGCATGTTGGATCCCCTGAGCTCCATTTCCAGTACTGGAAGGTAGGGATGGGGTGGGGAGCAGTCCTGGACCTACAGCTCTCCCTCCCCACCTCTCAGCCTGGAACGGAGAGCTTGGAGTACCTGCAGTAGAGGTTGGGGTGATTCATGGATAGAGATGATATGTGTAATCTTATTCCGGCCCAACTGATCCGGGTCTTTGGCATCTGAAAGAAACAGGATGCTTGAGCTAAACGGGCAGCGTGACTAATTTATTCCTAATGACCAAACGCAGAGAAAGCCAATGCCCAGCTTGCCTCCTCACCTCTCCCTTCCAGCTTGCCCCCCGCCCCCCCTGCTGGCTTGCCTGTTCCTTCCCCGCCTTGCAGGCACCCATCAAAGACAGGCCGGTGCTGTTCTTCCCATCCCAGACACCTATCTCCCTAGCTCATCCCTGGACTCAGCGACTCTACTTCCAGGAATCTGTGGACAGAGCGGTGGACATGGAAAGCTGCACGTGGAGGTGGAAGTTCTCCGCAGTGCTATTTGTTGCAGAAGCAGCTAACTGTTTGGAACAATCTAATGTCCACCCAAAAGAGACAGAATAAAAAAATAATACAACTGTACTTTGGACTCGTGTGCAATAATGAAAATGATCCCTATGAGCTGATATATGAGAATGTCCCCAATATATATTTTAAGTGGGACACACATCACTTCCCGAACAGCATGCAGAATGAGGTTCCATTTGTTTTAAATATTACATATGTAGCTACAATATATGACAAAATACCCAGGACTACACCCCTTAGGACTGTCAGTGGTCATCTCTGAGGAGTGAGATGTACTGGCATGCACCTTTTATAACCAGGGTAAATAACACATAGTCCTTCTTATAGCCATACACCTATTTCCTCACTCAACAAATATTCCCCATATGCCTGCTATGTGCCAGCTTCGGCTGGGCACTGAGTCTGGGGTCAACTCCAGGGCTCTTGTCCTTGTGGAACTAACACACGACTAAGCTGAATCCTCTCAGAAATCAATGCAGTAGGAGCTGCTGAGGAGGCTCCCAGGGAGGAAGGAGCCAGGGCTGTGGGGCGGGTCACCTGAGTCTTCTCTGTGACTTTTCCACCTTGGGTCCCCAGGCCTTGAGCCAGACAGTCTCAGCACATTCTTCACCACAAAGTCAAAGGTCTGTCTGTGTTCAGATCTGGCTCCCTACCACCAGCCTGGGGGCCCGTGAAGGCAGGGATGGGGAGGGCACTGCCCCTCCCCCACGGAAAGTTGTGGAAGGGGCAGAGGAGGGAAAAAGGCAGAAACCTGCAGACTTGCCACCCCCTGGCTTGAGGCTGCTGCCTGGTGGTTCCACTCGGGACTCTGCTTACAGGATCCGGTCCAGCTCCTCTTCAGAGGAGGCTGTGGGAGAAGAATCTCCAGCTTCCCCCCGAGGGAAGCCATACCCCCAGGCAGACCTCAACGAAAACCTTATGGAAGAGCCCTTGGGAGCCGGGGGACCTTAGGCTGAGGAAGTGGGCAAGGCTCAGATCCTGAGCCCTTCCTGTGGGCCTTGGGGGAAGGCTGAACTGGGAGCCTACATCAGTGAACCTCCCAGCCTGGGCACTGCCTGCCCTTGAACCCCCTAAACACTCCAGCTCCATGAGTCCTTTCTCCTCCCAGCCTGGCGTCCTTGCCTCCCCCACACCCCATTCTTGAGAGCGTCTAAGTTATGTGGGCCTGAGTGTGAATAGTGGACACAGGCCTGGGACAGGCAGTGTGCCATGGCCTTGGGGCAGAGTGGAAAGTGCTCACCAATGAAGTTTCCAAGGTAGAGTCCAGGAAGTACCTGGAGGAAGGACATCAGGGGTCAGGGGGCAGGCTGCACCCCTTCCCACCCATGGTAGCTGGGGCCCGCAGCTCTTCTCTATTGGTGATGGGACCTCAGGAAACCATCTCCCCGATAGGTCTGGGTGCTGCGTGAGGGGTCTGGGGCTCTGGCGAGGATGCAGGAACAGGCAATCAAATTAACCACAGGAGGGGCCAGGGACCTCAGCCTGGGGACAGGAGGAAGAGGAGGGATGGGATGGGTATAAAGTCCCAGGTAGAGATCAGGAAGGGGCACCGAGTGGGCCCCGAATGGAGGGGACTGAGGCAGGCCCAGGTGGAAGGCCATGCAGAGCAGAGCTGGAAGGATAGAGAGAGACACCAGAGTCCAGGAATCTCAGACCCTCACAGACACAGGGAGGCAGAGAGAAAAAGGCGCTCCGGGAGACGCCAGCGAAAGGCACAGCAAGAGTCAAGAGTCACGCAGAGGACAGACAGGCAGGGGCAGAGAGAGAGGAAAGGCAGATGCAGCATGACAGAGATGTGGCATACATCTCGGGAGCGGGAGCAGAAGGTCAGCGACCTGTCCAGGGCCGGGCCGCTGGGCGGGGACAGTCAGGCGTGGCGGGGGTTCCCCCTACCTTGGTCATGCCATTCCCCATGATCCAGAGGCCGGGTGGCCGGGCGCACCCCCAGCTCGGCGCCTGGAGAGCGCTGGGTTTACAGCTGCCCGGCTGGCCCAGGCCCAGAGCCTGCAGCCTGATGGGGAACTAGGGGCCCTGCGTTCGCGGCCCTGCCCAGCCCTGCCCAGCTGCCGCTGCCACCGCCCGCCGACCCCCGGCCCCGGAGGAAAGTGATGGAGCCGCCGCCGCCGCCGCCGCCGCCGCCACCGCCGCAGGCTCCTCCTACCCCCTCGGTCATGTGGGGTCCCCCTCCCCCGTGGGTCGTGGCGGGGGGCCGGACAAAGCCCCAGTGTGCGGGGCCCACGGCCCGCGGGACAACGGCAGCTTGTTGCGGCCGCGTGGGACGCCACCTCCGGAGGTGGGGGCGGGGCGCTCCCCCCACCCTGGCACCGTCAGGCGCGGCAATGGGGGGGGGATGTGGTGGGGAGCCCCCAACGGGGGCCAGACACTCAGTTTGCGGCTGTGCCTGCACCTGCCCGCGGCTGGGGGCAAAGCAGCCGGCTTTCCAGCCTGGGTTTCTTTAGTACGGAGGCTGGACTCATTGCTAAGGGCTCTGCTCTTCGGTTTTTGTTTGGGACAAGAAATCAGGGAAAAAAAATTCCTTCCATTATCTCCCCCAGCCCATGCAGTCATCCTAACATCCATCCTTCCTCTCTCCCACTCTTCCCAATATCCACATCTACTCACCCGTTCTATCCATTTACCCATCCATTCATCTTTCATCCATCCATCATCTATCTGCCCTCCCTTCCAGCCATTTATGCGTCAGTCCACCCATTCACTCATCTCTCGTCTTCTCTCTCTCCCCCTCCCATCCACCCTCTCATCATCCATCCATCATTCACCCATCAGTCCACTTGTCTCTCAACCTTCCTCTCCCCTATCCACCCTTCCACATTCTCTGGCCCCCCAGGAGATGGTGCCGCGTGGGTAATTCTACTAAGACCAGACATAACTGCCATTAGAGGGGTGAGGAAACCGGGGTGGGGTGGGGTGGGAGTGGGGTGGGGGGTGAGGGGGTAGGGGGTGTAAATGTGGAAGAGAGGGAAGTGTAGAAAAGCTCCAGTCAGCTGTGTCCTGGCTCAGAACACGGCAACAAGATGTCCACAGTTCAAGCCTGTGCTCACACTTGACTTGTTGAATAATCTGAGAAAGTCCCCCTGTGACACTGTCTGTCTGCATAAGCACGTTAAAATAAATGAGTCTAGGCGCTTGCTATGGGAACTGAACAGAAACAGCCGAGCCTGCTTTGTTCCTGTGGCCATCATCCCTACCCTTCTAAGTGACTCCAGGGGAGTGCCCACACAGGCAGCTACAGAGAGTCTGTTTCAAGTATAATTGGAGAAAAAGAAACCCATTCTTTTAGGTTTCTCCCGTCCTTGAGTTCACAGCGTGTTGTAGAATATTGAGATGTGTCACATTTGTTTAGGCTGTAGAACTTTTGTTTCATGATGCAAAAATGTGTTGCATTCTTTTATGTTGCATTTGTTTAACTCAGTGAAGCTGTGTTGCTTTGTCTAAAACACCTGATTGGTCTAATAAAGAGCTGAATGGCCAATAGCAAGGCAGGAGAAAGGATAGGTGGGGCTGGCAGGTAGAGAGAATAAATGGGAGGGGAAATCTGAGAGAAAAAGAAGAAAGAGCAAGAGAACAAGGAGAGGAAGAGGCTAGGGGCCAGCCACCCAGCCACACAGCCAGCCATGAAGTAAGAAGTAAAGAAAGGTAAACAGGAATGGAGAAAGATAAAAACCCAGAGGCAAAAGGTAGATGGGATAATTTAAGAAAAGCTGGCTAGAAACAAGCCAAACTAAGGCATTTATAATTAGGAATAAGCCTCCGTGAGTGATTTTTTTGGGAGCTGGATGACAGGCCTCCCAAAAGAGCAAAAGCAAACAACAACAGTGTATATGGGATGTCTGGCTCAGCCTTCTCGGTTTTCACAAAACCCAAATTATTCAACAAATGTTTAGTGAGAGGTAGGTACTAGAGACACAGTCATGGGCTAAGATGAAGGCAGTTCTTAACTTCCTTAGCTAGCAGTCTAGACATCAGTTTCCTAAGCTGTGGGTTTGGCCCAAACTGAATGTGTGATGGTTGTAAAAATTTTGGCAACAGTAAAAGGTTTCTAAATAGGTAATGGCTGAAAATTCAAAATTAAGCACCTAGTGCGTCCGGGGTGTTTCAGACAGCAGTCACCTGTGTCCCACCACGTCCCATCACTGCAGCCTTGCTTTTGAATCTGCAGCACGCACACTCTGCTCTGAGTATGCTGTGAGGCACACACCACCCATGAACTCTACCTGAACACCTCAGGCCAGATTTGAGACTTTGGGATGTTATGAACTCTAGTGTTTTTACTGTACAAACTACTTTTAATTATGAGGGCAGGGGAAAAGACTCAATATTTTCCTGCCATCATTCCTCAGCATGTGTCAAACAAAAACATCTTCAATTATGTTATGTTGAAATTTTTTTTAAAATGCTGATCGAGTTGCTGAATTCAGTTTCCTAAAAATTATTACATGAATTTTGGGTTGGAATTAGGACAGACTTTTCAACGACTTCTGACATTTGTGCTACATATTTATACAAAGTGACATTCTCAGCATTGATGATTATAAAATTAAAATATCAATCCTGGAAAATGTCCTATGGTATCAAATATTCAGCCAAGATTTAGTTCTTTATGCAGAAATTAAACAAGTACATCATCTCATTAGAATGCATATTTGTTAGAGGCCTTTATACATATATATGATAAAATTATATGTAGATTAAAATTATTTCAAAATAAATCCTTTTATGATTTATTATCATTAAATGTTTGATTTGTATGCCTACTTTATACACTTATATGCCCAGAGGTTATTTCTTAGGGGAAAAGGGCTGGTAGTGTTTGTCTAGCATGCACGAACCCTGGAGTTTGAACCCCAGTATTCTCGTAACCTCCAGCAATCCAGCACTTGCGAGGCAGTGGTTAGCAGGGTCAGAACAGCAAGTCTGAGGCCAGCCTGTGCTACAAGAAACTTTGTCTCAGAAACAAAGAAACCCGAACCAAAAAGGGGCAGTGATCACAAATGGAAAAAAATCTAAGCAGCCCTGGCCTAGTCCCTCCCAGGAGGTACAAAATATGTACATGTAGAAAACCGTGGATGCACATTCATTGTTGATAGTGTTTTGATTTAATTCAGTATATCCAGATACCATCATTTTAGCATTTGGTCAGTGTTTAGAAATTATTGATGATGCGTTAAGTCTTCAAAATGTGCTGTGTGGCTTCCCCTTTGGGCTCATCTCAACTCAGGCAATCTGCATGGCAGATGCTGGCAGCCTTATGTGCTTAGTATCAACAAAACGCATGTCCTAGATCTAGGCAAGAAGGGAAAGGAAAACTGCAAACAGACGTAATGCACTTACTGGACGGAGGTCACAGTTGACTGTGAGGAACCTCTCCGAAAGGCGACATTGGAGCTAGACCTGGTACAGCCACTGCAGGAGTGGAGGAGGACAGAAAGACAGCACCTTAGAGGCCTGTGCTGGGGAGAGTGGCCTGTGGGTAGAGCAGGTACAACTGGAGCACAGGGAGCTGAGGCAGGGGCATGACATGGGCTGAAGAGAGCAGTCAGGGCCCCTGCACAAAGAACCCTCCCGGCACAATTAGGCTTAACATTGTTTTCTGCTCCGGGGGACAGAAATCCAAAGGGAAACTTTAACCAAGGGCCCATGACAGCCGGTTTAAAGGTTTAAGTCCTTCACTGTGTCCCCCACTGCCCCTCCCCTTAGGGAAGTCACCAGGGAGGCCACTTCAGCCGTGCAGGTGGGCGATGAAGACCACTTGGGATGGGGCAGACAGAGAAGCTGCGAAGGGGAAGCACTCACTGTGAGTGAAGATCTAAGGGCATGGCTGACAGGATGTGCCGACAGAGGTGGAGAGGGAAGGAAGGGACTCCTGGGTTCCCTGACTTGAAAAATCATTATCTCTGCCACAAAAAGGGAAAACATCAATAATTCAACATGTGGTTATTGGATGTCAAGTTATAGGTGAAAGTTACACCAAAGATATCTGATGTTGACTTGAGTCTCCCAGAAGGCCTAGCCCCTGACATCGCAAAGAAATGCTGGTAAGTGGACTGTGGAGGTGTGCTCTTGTAATTACAGCATCGGGAAGATAGATTCAGGAGAGTCAGGAGTTCAAATCCAGCCTTGGCTACCTTGTAAACTTGAGCTAGCCTAGACTGTATGAAATCTTGTCTCAAACATACACATTGTGGGGTTGGGAGGATAATAAAAGATCCCGGAGACAAGGCCTCATATCAGAGCCCTAGGTGGGAGAGCCAATTTTCTCTGGTTATTTCATCTATAAAAGGGCAGCCCCAGTAGCCCTTTGTGCCCTGCTTGGTGCTTAGAGGGAATCATCAAATCACATGTACAAGAGACCTCTGCCGTGGTAAAAACCCTGAGGAGAGAGAGAGGGAAAAAAAGGAAGTTATTAGACATCACACATTTAATAACTATAAACTGTTTGCTCTGCAAGTGAGAGCTATTGAAAAGCTCAACTTTCTTAAATGAATCATGAAGTGACTATTTTACAAAAATTCTGCTAAAACACGTCTCCCTGGAAACCAATCCGTGGCTCACCGTGGTAAACAAAACGATGGCTCTCCAAGATTTGTACATGCTACTTGCTGTCGACTCTGAGCACTTGTGTTATACAGGAAGGGGGCAGGGTAAGGCTGGAGGTAGATTAATTAATTAATCTCATTAATTAACTCATTAATCAATGGGCTTGAGGCAGAATGATGCTGGCGTGTCCAGTGAAATCACCAGTGGAGTGTTCTCACGGGTGACGGGGAGGCAGGGCAATAGGGTTAAAGGGATATAAGGACAGAAGCAGAGGGTACACTGGACTCTGGTTTTGAAGGCGGAGGGGAGCCGTGGTGAAGGAACAGTATTTCTGAGCTATTTTTTCCTATCAATAGAGCAGCTACCTGTAGGACGGCAAGCTTCCTTGAAAAGATTCAAAACACACTTGAGAGATAGCCAGTGTCTTTGGGAGTGTATCGCTGAGCGTGGAAGTTGGCTGAAGGGGGAGAGAGAATCTTTACTTCAGTAAGAGTGGGGAGGGACCCAGGCGTATCACTAACCAACTTATTTCCTCAGGGCAGAGGCTGCTTGTCTCACAAATA